TACTTGAGAACAAGTTTGAAACACAAATGGGATTTTCTCAGTGATGGACAAAGAGAGGCCAAAGGGGAAGGGATAGAAAATATATGATCTAGTCAAAGACACTGGGTTCTGGGATGCAGCTTAGGGTGAGGAACTATATTGAGGGGGAGGAGGCTAGTCTTGATTGTCACCTCTGGTTGTGTCTGTAAGGAGGTGTTTACCTTAGGATAACTTAGGTGCAAAGACAGCCCCCACCTGTGCATGGAAGCCTTCTGCCAGCTAGGGGCCGGAACTAAATAAAAGGAGAAAGCGTGTGAGCTCCAGGTCTTCATGCTACCTCCCAACTGTGGATGCAGTGCGTCCAGCTGCCTCAGGCTCCGGCTAACATGCCTTCCCTGGCATGGTGGGCTGTACCCTCGAACTGCCATGCCTTCCCTGGCATGGTGGGCTTTACCCTCGAACTTCCATGCCTTCCCTGGCATGCTGGGCTGTCCCTCAAATTGTGAGCCAGAATGAGGTGTATTGCCTTAAGCCTCTTTTGTCAGGGATTTCATAACAGTAATAAGGAAAATGACAAATACAGAGGGACACAAGACAGAAGGAACTGAGCAGATTGGTTTTTGTTGAGGTATTATACATAGACACACACACATACATACATATATGTAATTAAGTGAGTTTTGTTTCACCTTCACAATATTGTGCAAACATTATTATTGACTGTAGAACTTTCTTTTCTGACATTGAGGATGACCCTGGAACTCCAGGCATACTAACTATCACGGCTACATCCACAGCGTCCAAGAACACTGTTATCCCTCCAAAGGAATGCTGAAGCCATTCGTTCTCCATTCATCCCAGCACCTGGCGATCATCAATCTACTTCCCGTCCCTTTTCCTTCTGGAACCAGAACTCATGTGTGTGCTGGTCTGCCTGAGGGCACCAATAAATCTCTTAGGCCCTATTAATTTTCCCCATTATTTTTAATTTCTCTATTTGTGCCTGGACAACTAATCTCAATTGATTTATCTTTATTTTTCTCTGCATCTGTTACTAAATTCCTCTTGTAGCATCTTCATTTCAGTTATTGTACTTTTCAATTCTAGAATTCATACTAAATGCTTCTTAATAATTTGATGTTTCTGTTCTGTCTGGTAGGATAATGACTTCTTGGTGTTTTTGTTGTTTTATTGTTTAACTACTTTAGTACTCCTAAATAATAGAAAATTCGGGTTTTTTTTTCTTAACTTTCCTGATATAAACAGCCTTAGACCCAAGGCTCAGGAAATCAGTGTGGACATTTTGGCAATGTAGACAGAGTGTCTGTTTTAACTACTTACTCAAGAACTAGGAAGAGTAAGCTCAGAATGGGTACACAGACCAGTGAGACCTACTATGAGTGGATTCACAGACCAGTAGACCTATTACTACCATACCAGGACACTAAGAACTCCTATCTATGAGCATCCCTTTGGCTTCTGTCTCAGATATAGTTCAGCATCAGTAACATAACACCACAGTGGCCTGGGGTTCCTGTGCTCTGTACACACTGACACCAATAAGTACCCACAGCTCCCTTTGTACAAGTCTAGGAAAACTTAGACTATATTACAGTGTTCTTATGGGACTTTGCTCCAACAGGGTCCGTGACCTCTGTTTATTCAAGGGATGCTGTGAACTCTCATAGGTCTCAGAATCAGTTTAAGGGCTATGACTCCCTGAAAGTAGAGACTAAAAGCAGACTTTTGATTGCTAGACCTAGATTGCTTGGTGTTCGTTATAGTGATCAGTCTGATGCTCACTGGTTGTGCAATCTCATGACCACCCATTTGGGTAACTTATTTGACTCTGATTCCTTTTACAGATAGCATGCTCGCTTTGTCTCTTGAAGCTCAGTACACTCTGTGTTTCTGTGCCGTAGAGAGTATTTCCCACAGGTTTCTCTCATCTGGAGATCAGAGGATGCCTACTTCTCTGCTTCCCAGGGATGCCGGGACTCAACTCTTTCAAAAGGAAATGTGTTCCAGATCTTATATAAAAGTAAAATAACAATTTTTAATTTATAAATGAGTCTTAAGTACAGACTTAGCTACTTAGTAACACTAATCAATTTTTTGAAGATTTATTAATTTTTATTTTATCTATATGGGAGCTTCTTTTGCATGTAGTCTGTGCATCACATATATGCAATGCCCATGGAAGTCAAAAGAGGGTACCAGATTCCCGGTTTGTGAGTCGCCCTGTGGTGCTGGGAATTGAACCCAGATCCTCTAAAAGAGCAGCCAGTGCTCAACTGCTGAGCCACCTCTCCAGCCCCTGGCACTAGCAGCTTCCACTACTTCCATTACAGAAGATGGTTCTACTGGGCACCATCTAGACTTGCATAACTACACATGTAACATTTTATTAATGGCAGTTTTGTTGTCGTTAGAATTTCTCAGTCTAAGTATTGGTTGGTGAAAGCCAGCATAGTTGTTTAACAGTGGTCAGGGAGGTGGGAAGAAGGTGTGAAAAAGGAAGAAGGAAGTCTTGGTGATAAGTTGTGAATCATGTCAGGTGTTTCTTTCTGATAGTTTCATAAATGGGGGAAATAAACGTGGGCAAAGTAGCTTTGGTCATCTTCTTGCCAGTCCTCACAGGCTGAGGAGGCCGTGGGAAGTAGAAGGTGGAAGTCAGCACTTATAGATTTCACTGGGGAGTCAAGCACAGAACCAAGATAATGGTTTCAGGGAGTCTCAGGGTCATCGTGGACCACTCTTGTGCTTGGGGCTGGCATGCTTCTTTCTGGCTTTTGTCATGGTGTGAATAGGTCTGAGAATGGCTAGAAGATAAAGACATGGGTCCCCGGTAATGAAGGTCTGTGGTTAAAGGGAATGTTGGAATTAGACATTTTAGTCTGTTTTCTGTTGCTATAACAAAATACCTGCTATGGTGATTCATTAATAGAGGACTATTTATCACATGGTCTGAGGACTAGGAAGCCTAAGGACTTGGTACTAATTATCTAGTGGCAATCATAACAGGGTAGAGGCCATCACATATTGAGCAGTGCAATAGTACCAGCTCAGGTCTCTCTCTTAATGCCATCTTGGCAGGGTACTCTCATTTCATCAACTCCTAATTACCTCCCGAAAGTCCTACCTTCAACATGCGAATCTGAGTTTGTTTCCAACATGTATGAAGTCATCACAGGGAAAGGGTATCTTAAAGACCCTGCACGTAGCAGTAGAAGCAGGCTTCTCCCCTTGATGGAGGGAGCAGGGGACGGTGCAAACCTACATAGTGAGTGAAGAAGGTGGCAGACCTGAGGGAACACACTAAGGCTGAATTTCCTCTATAAACTGGAGGGACAGCCAACTACTCTGTGTGGAAGAAAGGAAGATGCTAAGATATTTTTTAAAAAGCAAAAGACTTATGGTAGGTAGAAAAGAAGGGCCAATGATTCATATGGGAATCAATAAGAAAATTCTATGCAATTCTACCAAATAGTCTCTTTCCAACAAAGTTGATTATGTCATATCCATGTACAAAATTATTGACTTGTGACTTTCATATGCATGTGTAGCATATACACACAAGTATCAAGTACTGTGATTGATAGTAGTCACCTCTCCCTCATTTCCCTTCTTGTCTGATAAGCTTCCTTACTATGACACACATTGAACCTTTCTGGTAAATGTTGATAACAGAAAGTAGAAGAACAAGAAGGGATTAAGTGAGTATGAGGACTGCGCTGCGTACAATCTCAGGCTGAGGAGACAGGACTGTCCCGTTTACAGATGAGCAGGTACAGAGCAAAGGGAAGCTAGAATTGAGGGCTTGGTTAACCACCTGCACAGCTGTGACGCTTGAGCCATTTATTTCTTGAAACCTTAGATACCTGTTGGAGAACAGGAATTGAGCTTTCTACTTTATAAAATTATGAAGACCATTAAATAAAATAATCTGTAAGAAGGAGTCTAATACATGCTGGGGTGCTTTAGTGTTTCTAGGGGAGAAATGTGTTTCTAGGGGTTGGGCTCTTGCTACACAGTCCCAGTCTGGCCTCAAACTTAGGATTCTCCTGCTTCTGCCTTCCAACTGTAGGGTTACAGGTGTGTGCCACCAGCGCAGTTAGGGTGCTTGATTTTTGGGAAAAAAAAACCTGATAGACTATGAATTGTTGTTAATTCTGCCATTTGATTGAAAGTCGATGTGATCTGAGTTTGTAATCTTTCTCTTCAAAGTTAGACAAGTCTTGTGCTCCAGGTGCCAGGATTCCAGTAACTTCTACCAGGTGGGGTCATACTGTGCAATATAGCCCAATGTTTAAAACAGTTTTCGAAAGGAGCAAACAGTACAGCAGATACAATGCCCTGAATGGGAATCCGCCAAAGACATTGACTCTCAGCACACTGTGGAGCTATGGAAGTCTCATTTCTACACTTGCTGCCCTCCACACCTTGCCAGTGGGACATTCCTGGGGACTGTCGTTTAAAGATTTGAGAGTCTACCTGCTTCTTATTTACTGTGTGATTTTGGAAAAGACGATTCATCTTCTGGTACCTTGAAGGGAAAGGAGACAGTAGCCTGCATTTCACAGAAGGTTCCAGAACAGACTGGAGAAAGGGTGTCATGTTCTGAGTGATGCTTGGAGCCATCCTTTTATGGAACATTAAACATTACATTCATATGAGTAACAGGTGGTGAGGGCTCTGGCAAGATGACAAGGTAGATTATGGGACCTGGGGAAGTTTCCTTTAGCAAGTCTTCGGTACATTTGTCTGAAGACATTGATTAATAATCCCTCCTGTCCCAGGTGAGCCGCAGAGTGGAGCACAGGTGTGCTGAGAGATGGGAACCCAAGGGGAGGGATACTCAGGTCACATCCATCAGGGGATGGCAGGCGCGCAGGCTTGAACAGTCCTCAGTGTCCCAGGCTCACTCCCAGATGTCTCCCCCAAAGGCTCTAAATTATTTTTCCAGGCCGAAGCTGGAAATCCCAAAACCTCCCTGATCCAAAGACACGCTCATTGTCTCATTGCGGTTGCAACCACTGCGCATGTTTATTGGGAAAGCAGAACATAGCGCATCTTGGCTTCCACAGTTCACCGAGTCCTGGCTCTGTCATCTCTAAGCTTGCCATTCTCTTGGGAGGCAACAGAACCTCTTTATTTGAATGTCCCCAGGGAGAATTAAAGAGAAGGCACACCTATGTAGCAAATTAGGAACAGTGCTGTTAAAGGGGCTGAGGGTGGAGAAAGATTGGTCCCAGAATAGAAGTTCCCATCATGCCCAGTCTAGCCAAGAGCACAATACTCATACAATACAAGGTACTTCTCACAGAGGTGCCTGGACTTCCGAAAAGCACAAGGGTAGCAGTGTGACAGAATGGCCATTTTATCAGCCTCGTGCGTCTGGAGTGGGCTTTGGATGGTAGACACTGGAGAGACAAAGGATTCTCTCTATTGGTAGGACAACATGGGAGGATATTTGGTCTGGAGGGCCATCAGCAGTAGAGAAGAAGCAGCAGCCACTCAGCTGACTTCTGAATAGCACAGCTGAGACACGATCCTTCTTAAGTGGGAAGGGCAGTGAGCACGCTCTTATTGAACTAACTGCCTTGAAGCTCTTTCCAAAGAGAATGCTTTGTTAAAGAGTTGATTACAAGAAAGTGCACTGTTACACAAATACTTCTATTAGGGTATGCACAGACCTTCTGAGGGGAACCTGGAGGAGACTGTGTGTGTGTGTTTCTGGGAGGTTGTGTAGAAGCTTGGGTTGGTATACCTAGACAACACCCTTTGGGATCCTGGGTGGGAAGACGGCCCTCACTGAATCCCACCAGGCAGGGAGATGCATTTGCAGAGCAGACAGTACCAGTGTGTTGGGGTCATTGACCTTGAACTCAAAGGCACAACAGGCTGAGCAAACCAAGTTAAGACTCTACATTGTCAGAGCTAAATTCCAATTTGGGAACAAGAGTTGAAAACATCCTTACATGTCCATCAAAAGAGGCCTGGTTCAAACATACAGTAGGGCCGAGTGTACAGCTCAACACTAGAAACTTATCTGACAAGCACAAGATACTAGGTTGACTCCCAGCGTCTTGAAACATAGTGTGTCCACAAAAGCAATTACTCTTTAGACTAAAGCAGCCTGTGGGTATCATGTCAGCCCTGGAGGGCTGGGGTTGGAAAACTGATATAAGTTATCTTTACCAATTACCAGCCGCTCAGTTCCCTATTCAGTTCCCTTGCTTGTGATAAACTCATTAAAGCCTTAACATGTGTTGACTGTGAGGGAAATTCTGACTAGAGTAGGGGTCTCTGCACATTTGCATGTGGGCACCCTGCTTCTAAAACTGTGAACAAAAGCAGCAGGCCATTCCGGAAGGCTCTGTAAAACGGTGTCTCTTCAGAATGCAGGCTGTGCCAGCTCTGATTGCCGAGACTCACACTGACTCTCTTCTGAAATAAAAAGAGTCCCGTGATATCTTCGTGTATGTTCTCTTCTAGAATGGTCTCTCCACAGTGAAGAGACACTTTTGAGGTTGAGGACCAGACTCAAGATGGCCCAGAATTGGGAGATCCTACTGCTTTAAGGTATTGTGCGGCACCAGGACAGAAAAAGGGCATGCCGTACAATAAGGTCTGAAGCCGAGTGGCCAGTGAGGCCCAGCACCCAATGGGAAAGAAAGTAAGACTCGTCGTTTTACCCAGTTAGACTCTACCAAATGCCTAATGAGTATCTCCTATAGTGTTTGAAATAAGTGCGTGTACGGAACCGCATTTATTCCCTCAGGGGAGAGGCAAGGCAGGCCTGCATCCTCCTGCACATGCTACCCGTGCAGGTAGGGGGCGCGCGGGGGCTCCCGGCCCAGGGCATTGAGGTGCTGCTGGGCACCTGCGCCCGCCAGCTTCTCATTGAGTTTTTGATTGACCAGCTCCAGGTGGCGGCTGTTCTTCCTCGCCTGCCTCAGAGACCTCTTGACCTTCTTCACCCGCTCACGGAGCTGCTTGTTGCGCTTCTCCAGGGTGGCCACCTTCTGCTGCAGCTTCTTGACGTGGTCCTCTTCCTCAAACAGGGCCTTTTGCACCGAGGAGCACATGAGCTGGGGGCAGAAACAGCGCAGAGGGAGAGGCAAATGAGTCTCTGAAGCGACAGCACGGGCAATGGCCTTCACCATGACCATCTCCCTCCACCCAGGAGTCCCACCTGACCTCAAATACAAACAGAACCCCCACTTTCCTCTTTCTTACAAGATTTTTACATTTAAAATATAGTCTAAGTATTTGTCACTGGCGGCAGGAAGGAATGAACTTCCTGTAACTCAGTAGGCCTATGCCAGGATAGGAGGTAGTTCACAGGGGAGGAGCCATGATTGTTTTTTGAGCAAATGAACAGGTGCTTAACCTTGCTGGAACAGGTGCAGACAGTTTTACCTGCCGTCATTCAGAAGCCGATGGAGTGCAGCAATGGGCTATACCTGCTGTGTTAGGTACTCTGCACAATCCAGGGGTGGTCATACGCAAACACTGCGGCTCTGTGCAACTACTGTGCCACCTTACTTCATACAGAAGGAACTTCGGCATCTGCAGATTTGGGTATCTGAGGAAGGGTCTCAGGACCAGTGTCCTTCACATGCTGAGGGGGGACTGCGTTCATCTAGCCCCAGCCACCTGCACTGGAGTACAGCAGTACAGGTAAATGCAGTTTTAAGACCAGCTGCCCTGGTTTCTCTCCTTGCCTTTTCGGCTTCTAAATGCCCTCACATCGGGCAAGCTTCTTGAACTCAGTGTAGTGGACTCTGCATTGCTCCACACTGGCTTTGGGACCGCAAGGTCTGTCCCCAGCTTCTTAGCGTGTTACAAGAGGACAGTCCTCCGTGGTCTTTGCTGGAACCTGCCCTGGTTTACCCCCCCCCCCTTGCTGGGGCATTTGTAGTTAATAATGAGGCGTGACACAGGATTAAGAAATCCAGGGCCCCTCATCTTCTCTTGGAACATCTCTGAAGGAACATCTTAGCTTCACAGCGTCCTATGAGCTAGACTAGGGCCCCAGGGAAGTTGGAATTACAGTTAGTTTCACCTTTCGCCTGGTCCTCTGTTCCCTGTTTCCCTCCTTCTCCCCAGGTATGCCTCTAATGCCAAGAGCATCCTCTAAAAATCGCATCTCCTCTTCTCTCAAGCCACCCCCCCTTTCAGGAAGCCTGACCGGCCACATACAGTTTCCTCACGTGTAGCATAAGATTAACCACAGGGTGGGGAAATTTAATGAGTTTTATCCAGACAGTTCTTAGACTCGTGCCTAGCACACAGTAAAAGTTCACTGTCAGTCAGGAGTCCATGGTCAGACCCACCTAGGCATCTCCACTTTGTGCACCGCAGGCCCCGTCACAAACATGCTGGCTCCTGGTTCTTACTCCAACACATTTTTCTCCTTTTCATCTCAAAGTCTGTGCCGTGGTTTCTCTTCTGCTAGAGTGCCATTCTCCCTCAGCTCTCTCTGCACTTTTTCTTCTTTTTCATTTATTTATTTATTTATTTATTTATTTATTTATTTATTTATTTTTTTTATT